CCTTTGGGGAGTGTAAAAGGAGAGAAATCAAAGAGTGTTTGAAGGAGCTATTACTAGCTTTAATAGCAGATTGGTTCTCCTCTCACAAAGGTAGGGGCTCTATACCAAAAAGTCTTGTCATTAACAACCCCTAAGCAATGGCAACCTTGGATAACATGAAATCTAGCTGAAGAGTTGTTGTTTGGTCTCTTTCTCGTTTATGCTCAATTAAATTGAATTTTGATGGCAGTAGCTTTGGAAATCCAGAAGTAGAAGGCTATGGTGGGCTTATTAGAAATCATTTGGGCCGTGTTTTATGCTCATATTCAGGCCCTTGTAGTATTGCTACAACAAATGAAACAAAGGCTAAAGGTCTTTTGGAAGGATTAAAACTCCTTTCACTTTATTGAAAGAGACTCGACAATGTCATAGTTTGGAGTAGTGGAGAGTGCAATGTTCCATGGAATCTTAGAGTTTTGTTTCATGAGATTAGGATTATCATTTTTTCATTCAATGCTATCATGCATCATTGCTTCAATTAGGCGAATGAGAGACAAATGCCTTAGCCAAAGGAAGAGCTAACTCCCCTTCTTTGGTTATCAATTTTTCCTAATGCTTCCCCTTGTCTTACTTCATGTTTCTCTTTTATCGTGTAACACTATTTTGAGGTAACGGAAAGTTTGTGTTAATGTTAAAAAAAAACAAAAATATTGATGAAATCATAGATCCCTAAATCTTAGATTTGCTGAATACTATTAAGTAATTATATTTCATGTGGGATCAAGAACATAGTGTGATCCTAAGTGACTATTAGACAATATTTTCAACCCCAAACTTTATTTTGATATGTGAATGCCAGCCTATATGCGTGTGTATGTGCACATGTGCCACACACATATTGTAATGCAGGAGATAAAGATGTTTCATGATTTTATTTACATGTTTGGTTCACATGAAATTGTTTTCCAAAAAATATTTGATATACGTGAAATTGTTTTTTTAAAAACATTTTCACATGAAACTCTCATGTGGTCAAGTGCAAAAATATTTTTATACCATTTGATCTATACATCTTTTCACGTCAATTGACAACTAATTGAGATAAAAATATTTCCACATTTAACCACATCAAAAAAAAATTTTATATAAAAATATTTTTCAGAGTACAATTTCAAATGAACCAAACATGTTTGCCAAAGTAGGTGAAAACACCTGTAGGAAGACCTTTTTTTTATTTTTTTTTGACAATCCATCCACTTTTTGCCCTCCCTAAAGGTAAATATATCATTTTCGTATATACCAATTTCATGATCAAGGCGACTAACATAGCCCATGGCATTTTCGCATTTGAATTAACTAGGGACAGAGACCCTCTTTAAAATGCAAGAGGTACCCCCTTAATTTGCATTTCAAATCAGCCGATTTTATCATAATACGAAAGCAAGGGACCATTAAGGCAAGCCACAAAGTTCAGTAGTTTTAGTTACGACCTACATTTGCTAATAATCAAAGCTTACATCCAAACCGTCTTATCAATTTTTTTATGAATCCTGGGTTTTGAATAGTACAAGCACGAGTCCCAAAACAAATAATATCGCATGTTAGAACCTTTTTTTTTCTAAAAAAAGTAGCGGTGTGAAAAACAAAAAATTTTTGCACACATATACTTCTCATCTAGACACTTTAAATGAAAATAAAACAAAATAACTGTGTTACGTACTCCACCAAATTTCAGCCATCTAATTGCCTTCTCTCACTGGCTTATGCTACAGTATTTAACTCCAAAAAAGAAGAAATTCTTTCTTAATAGAGCAGCTACTGATAAATGATAATTCAGTTGGTTAGCTTATCAAATACGTACGATAAATATAGGCTACGTTGTGAGGGGCCACTCGTGCTGCCTATAAAAGCCAGTAAAAGTTGTGATATGTTAGTTTTCCATCCAAAATATGAAATTTTCTCTGAACCTGCATAAAACGTTATCAGTAATGACAATTAGCCACAGTTTTCAGGGTGAGTGTATAAATATAATTCGTTTTATTTGTAAATTTATCTCACAAGAAAAATCCGTTCTTATAGTAAATTTCACAGCACATGAACATATAGCAGTATTCTCGAGAGGGTCGTCTTTATATGCTTTCAAGGTGATGCCTGGTGGTTCCTCCCATGCCTGGTTACAGTATGCAAATGGAAAAAACATGGTTCACACATGCAGAGAGAGAGAGAGAGAGAGAGAGAGAGAGAGAGAGATGCAAGATTACAAGCTACCACATTCATGCTTAAGTGTGAAAAATGAACAAATAAATGGAAAACTGTGATAATAAAACTGCTACTTCCATGCCTGGTTACAGTACTCGAATGATAAAACACCACAGAACAAATTCTGTCTTAATAGCACATATTTTAATCTACAAAACATTGGGCATACCTCATAATTACATAAAAATTGCAGCTTTTGTACATTAGGAAGACTGGTATCCTACATAGAAGCAAGCAGATCTCGCATCTCATCAACAGAAGTGATCGTCTCATTGGGGTATACCTTGGCAATTAATACAGCAAAGCTCTCGTACTTATCCAGAAACTCTTTCTACAAGACCCATGAAGACGCGCTATGTCAAATGGTGCTTTATAAAAAATTTCAATGTGACTTATCCCGAAAAGAAAAAGGATTTAATGCATCTATGCATAAACTTCAATGCATACGACAATTACATTAAAATACAGTGTCATTTGAGAGGCAATATGGCATTCCGAACCCTAATGAAAGGGGTTGACATTCTAATATGCAACCGCATAAAAAAATCAGGTCCATGCTGTAATTGATCAAAGAATGACATGAAGATTTCAAGAAAGTATCCCAATTGTACAACTTGATTTCATTCATGCAGTTAACTTAAGACGGAAAAGGGGGGTGGAAGAGAGAGTGAGAGTACACTGTTAAGTATATCGTAGTCCCATGGGGTATGGATACCGTACGAAAAAGAGGCAACCACTGTCCATTCCTGATGATGGATGGCAGTGGCAAACTAAACCTGGGTAAATGTCCCACTACGGCCCACGATGTCCATCATCAACAGAGTACAATATACCATACTCCACTGGCTTGTGGTACAACTTCCCTCTTAAAAGTTTGTGGTTATCTCTTAAGTTGAAAAATAAATAAATTAAAAAGAAAGCTCAAACCCCAGGGACCAATGAGTTCCTATCAAATGCCAAGAGAAAGTTCCCCTTTTCTCCCAGGGAAATTTATCAAAATACACCTGAAATTTAACCTTACGTTTATTTTTATGAATTTCAAAACTCATTTTGATGTGATGGGCTTGAAATTCGATCAAAAGAATGATAGGCTATTTGATATTTACAACTTGCGTAAAGATTCCACAACAGTAGTCTTTTCCCCTATTAGGTTGAATAAAAAGAGAAAATTGCTTGCTTACTTTGCATTTGTCCCATAAAGAGGGAAGCAGCTCCTCTGATGTTAGATTCTTCTGCAACCTTCTATACATGGCACTGATAGACTTATCCACCTGAAATAGAACAATTCAACAATTATTATCCGGGAAAAGGCCAGGAGGTTGTACTATTGATAATTTCTGTAGCTTACCCCAGAAAGACTAGATTTTAACATCTTCCGAAGGTCCATCTTTGATAGTCCAAGTTGAAAAGGAATCTGAAAGAAGAAAATACAGAGCATACCCCGGTTATAATACTCAACGGCTTCAGGAACCATCGGATGTTTAAAGTCCAAAAGCAAGGTCTTAAAAGTTGAAGTATGATCTCTGTATGTTAATTCTAAAATTACTCGACAAGTATAACTGAATGATATAGTACTACAAACTACAGATTGACATCAATAAGAGAACCTCTTACCTCCTCTGGAGTAATTGTGTATATTAAATCCTCTATTTTCTGAGCAAATTGGAAAAGCTTTTCGAATTGCTGCAATAACAAATGAGCGAAATTCCCTCAATGACTGAGCATCAATTAGATACTCTAAGATATGCATCATGCCAGCAATTTTTTTCTACTAGTGATAGGGAAACAGAGAAGAATGAGAGGAAAATACCTTGCCCATTTAGCTCCTTGGAAATCTCAATCCTGGACTTGATTCATATCCCGGATATCAATCTTTTAGGAGATAAAAATCCTCGATACAAGGCAAATGCTGTTTCGAGAGCATATGGATGATCTAGGTTTTGCAAATCCGCTATTTCGTTCCCATATTTTTAAATCAATGATTCACCATTTTCATTCAATTTTCAAGTTATAAAAGATCTATCATATTTTCTTCTCTCTAACTCATCTCTTTCTAACCATGCTTGTTCTCTCTGTAACTCCTCTCTCTCTCTATTTCTAACTCCTATTTCTCTAACTGTGCAATTTCCTTAACTCCTCTCTCTCTCTCTAATCGGTCCCTTTCACAAACTTCTTTCCCTCCAATTGTGTCATTTCTCTCTTTAACTCCACTATCTCTAACCGTGCCCTTTGTCTCTCAAACTCTTCCAACCATGCCCTCTCTCTCCCTAATTCCTCTCTAACTGTGCACTTTATCTGTTTGACTGTGCCCTTTCTCTAACTCCACTCTGTTCAACCGTCCCTTTCTCTCTTAACTCCTCTTTCTCTAACCGTGGCCTTTCTCTCTCTGACTCCATCCCTACCTGTTCACTCTCCTGTAACCATGCCCTTTCATCTCTCTTAAACTTTTTCTAGCTGCCCTCTCTTTCTTAACTCTTCCCTCTCCCCTTAACTGAGATATTTTTCTATATAGCTCTTCTCTCTCTAACCATGCACTTCCTCACCTCCTCTCTAAGTATGCCCTTTCTTTCTTTAACTGTGCCCTTTCTAACTCCACCTTTTCTTAGCGTGTCATTTCCAACTTATTTCTCTATAACTGCGCCCTTTCTCACTCTAATTTTGCTTTTTCTCTCTTTCTGGATGAGGGGAAGGGGAGAGTAATAAAGGAGGAGATAAAACTGGCTTAACAATCCCCTCAACACACCAATCGATAATCTCCCTGGAATTGGCATATCCTGGATATTACAAATCCAGTTGTTTATTTGGATTGGCAAATGCCTGATATGAGCCCTTTTGTGGATTGGGATATCCAGGATATTGGGGATCAAAAGAGCGTTAAATGCAATTTTTAATGTCATATCTTGGATATTTAAATCCTGGAAATGAATCTTCAAGTATCCAAACAAACCACAGCATACATAATTATCAGAGGATACTCACAATGTATATAATAACACTGATGTGGCGTGTGCAAGCTTGCTCGTATGCTTCACTTGCTTGATGATAAAACTTTGCGAGGGTCGGAACAACATTAGCCAAGTCATACAAACTGCATATAAACTATTTCTTATCAGCATATATCAGGTAAGGATTATCACCATATTTTCTTTCAATATTCCCATAACCTTGAAAGTATGGATCCAGAAAGTTCAAAAGACAGATTACCTGTTTTGGAAAGCAGCATAATTCTCTAAAAGTACCATATCAGCATACTTTGGATCAGTTTGGGCTATCCGCTCCAAAGTTACAAACATTATGCTAACCTTTTTCAACAAAATGATATCTAAGTGTCAGACATGATTTCGTACAATTAAGCTTAAAGACAAGAAAGATTGATTTTTCATTTCTGAACAACTTCGTATTCTAGTCACAATTCGAGCATGAAATGTTCAGATAAAGAAAACAAAGAACATAAGTCAACTACATATCAAAATAAGAAGATACAAAATCTGGAACTTACAAATTTTGTGTATGCTTGGTCAACAAGGTCTCTGGACTGTCCTTGAATATATTGCTCCATTCGAGTCGCAAGAGTAGCAAATCTACATAAACGAAGAACATTATTTCTTCAGGTACTGCTAATGAAATGCTATTTTCGGTGAAAACATAAATTTAGTCTTGAGCAAGGCAGTCATTGAGGAATGCCATTCCATTCATTCAATAAAAGCATTTTTAACAAGATTCTTTTCAATTAAAAAAGCATCCAAAAGTCACCTTGGGATATATGACTGAATACCCATTTGCCGTACATTTCGTTCATTCCTTTCAATTTGGTGACAAGCTTCATCCACAAACTGATATCAAGAGATTCATATAAGAAAGCACATTCCCTCATTCCCCAGAGAGAAAATAATCACCAAATATATCATATATCCTGAAGCTGAAAGATTCCACAGAGAGAAAAGAATCACGAAATACAGCATAATAGAGATAGTCTGCAATTCACCTTGCTAAACTGCATAGAGATCCTCGACTCTAGGTCATCAAGTAAGCGACGGACAAATCCAGCTGCATCAGCTTTTTGGCCAGAAAGGTATCTCTCTGTAATCCCATGCATGGATATACAACGCAAAGGATCAATTTTGTATGCCCAATCCACAACAGCATAGAAGTCATCCTAAAATTTGGTTGAGAAAAGAACAAGTTTAGTCCATTTAACATCAGTTTGGCGTGGAAAGACAACTAAAAAATTCTCTACGAGTCTAAAGATAAAATTTCTGAAACTTAATGACATGTGTTTTGCAAAAACGAAAGCATTAAGACATTTCATGATACACATCATGAAGCTAATCCGCACAACAACTTAGTCCAATTGGCACCAATGGATGTAAAAGATGTAACAGAAAACAAGAGCACGAGTCGAAGTTGTCATACAGAAAACAAGAGCACAAGTTGAAGTTGTCATTCCAAGAATCCAATATGAAGCATCATTGCTAGACAGAGGATAACATGGAGAGGGATAGAGAGAAAGAGAGAGAGAGAGAGAGAGAGAGAGAGAGAGAGAGAGAGAGAGAGAGAGAGAGAGAGAGAGAGAGAGGAGGAGGAG